CTCTCCGGAGGCGTGGGTTCGAATCCCACCGCTGCCAACCAACTTTTTGTTTTTGTTCTTTGCAGTCTTTTGTGGACGCATAAGTAGCAATGTGACGGGAAAGGAAGCAAGCAAGTTTCCATAGTGTAGCGGTTATCACGTTCGCCTAACACGCGAAAGGTCCCCGGTTCGATCCCGGGTGGAAACAGCCATTTCTTTTGGCAGTTCAGAGTCAGAGAGCACTTTGTTACAGCACAGGCATAATACCAAGAGTGTGTAGAATATGGGACAAGTTTTTGGCCCAAGCAGAAGTTTTGTTGGCGTCCACTTTTTCCGGAGGATCATGAATCATCAAGTACAGAGTTCCCAGACTTTCCGCTTCTGCAAGTGTCCCATTCCAGCTGCCCAGTAAAGCTTTTTTGTACTGCTTCTCTGTCAAGGGGGTGACTCAAACTCAAAGCTGCTGGATATTTTACCAATTAAAATTTTAATTTTCACAATTGGTCGAATCTGCAGCGGAATTCCACACTCTTGTTTTCCACCTACAGCTATATATGGTAGCTTAAGAAAGTGTTTGATACACCTGAGTGTACAGCCTTATATATGCAAGGAGAGAAGAGCAAAGAAAGCTGTTTTGCTGTTGCTGCTGGACATCAATTACCGTCTCGAACAGCTATAAAGCAATGAAGCCTTATTTTGCCCTTCGCTCTTTATTATGTAAACTTTTGTTTTAGTGCCCCTGGCGACATGTCACACTCCCTGCCTGAGCAGGCAACTGGGTGCGGACCAAACAATCAAAATCCCATCGTATTCCATTGAGAGGGTTTTTGTTGATTTCATGCCTTCGTTGCTGTCACGATTGGAAAGAATTGCTATGCCTCATCACAATATTGACAACTGACTTCGAGTTCTGTTACAAGAACAAGCTTACACAAACTCCATTTCCAGTATGATTAGTCAGCGTCTTTCATGACCTCATGGCATGGGTAGGATGTGCAGGGTAGCGTGGCCGAGTGGTCTAAGGCGCTGGATTAAGGCTCCAGTCTCTCCGGAGGCGTGGGTTCGAATCCCACCGCTGCCAACCAATATTTTTTAATAAATCTGGCTTTTTAATTTTGGACTGACTGCATGTAGAATATAGGGTGTGATTCTTGAGAGCAAACACAGGGACCATTTTACTTGGGGTTAGCTTTCTTTTTTCCTCTGGCTCCACCAGAGAATTAAATTGATTCGAATTTGAAAACACCTGTTCTTGATTCGTCCGCATACAGACACGAGCTAATTCCAGGTGCATGATCTTCAGTTCCGTACGAAAGTGTATTTCGGACACTAGGGAAATTATGATGCGTGGTTTTCCACAGCGCGCTGGTGTAGCTGCAGGATATAATGAAGGCAGCGCGCCGAGACATCTGCCCAATACGAAAGTTATCACAGTTGCACACTCTTGGTGTTGGTGATGTACTCTTCTTACAAGGCTGCCTCTGTCTTTGTAACAACTGATCCAACCTGTTCTGTCTACCAACCCTTTAGATTTTTGAATTGTGTGAAATGAAAAAAGGGAAAAAGGAAAATGACAAGCAGACATAACCTGCGCCGATTGAAGAAAAGAAGAAAAACAAAGGCTGTTTCCACCCGGGATCGAACCGGGGACCTTTCGCGTGTTAGGCGAACGTGATAACCGCTACACTATGGAAACTCAGCTGAGCTTTCATGTTCCCCGTATCATCCTTCAGGCAGCAGGGAGGCAGATTACACAGTTCATGAAAGTGGGCAAAAAGTCATTTCGAGTAGCGTGATATATTTCGAAACAAGTGAACTGAGGATCATGTGGTTTGGTTTCGGCTTAAGGTAATGTTCGTACACAAATTTTCTAGGTGCCGCTAGGGTTTGAGGTACTAGTACTACAGTCGTCCCTCTCTAATCCAGCACTTGTTTATCCAGCACCCTTGCAAACCAGCACACTTTCTGGCAAAAACGGATTTTTTCAGTTCATTTTCTACGCTTTAATCCGGCACTTGAATTCCGCCTCCGGCAGCGATTTTCTGCAACAAATCACTCAAACTGTACATAATTTGATCTTCTAATCCAGCAGTTGTACATCGCATACCGTACCGGTGCCAATATCCTATGCCAGTGCATAGGATATTCCCAAGTGTATGTTATAGACACGGCATGTTACAGACATGCATTCCACAAACTTGTGACAAAGTACTTGGATTGACACAGAAAAATCCCTACATTTTGACGTACGACACAAACATGTACGTTACTAGGTGAGCCGGGTGGGAGGGCAGGATTTGATAATCCAGCACCCTTGTTTATCCGGCAGAAAATGCCGTTGCAAAAGGTGCCGGATTAGAGAGGGACGACTGTACTAGTAAACGTATTCGCTTGGTACAAGTAGTCGTGTATAACCTTCAAAAAAGAGACAGGAGCAAACAGCTAGCTGTAGGGTTCTTCCAGGCCTCCAGCTGGAAGAGTTTGAGGATGTCAGAAATGGCATGTAGTTTCTCAAAAGCCAGCTAGAACACTATTCCAAGAAGTGGTGGTGACTGTTCAGCTATCCCAAAATGAAAGAGGTTTACGTGAGTTCACTCTGCACGGTGAAGGAGCACGTACCGACCAAGGCAAGATAGCAATGACCAACCTGCATGTTCAACCTGTCGCAGGCAGTGCTTCTGATGAAAAGAAAAAGAAAAAAATTGGCTGTTTCCACCCGGGATCGAACCGGGGACCTTTCGCGTGTTAGGCGAACGTGATAACCGCTACACTATGGAAACTCAGCTGAGCTTTCGTGTTCGCCTTATCATCTTTCAGGTAGGGCCATAGCAGAATTCACTGCCCTAATCAAGAACCGCATTCTCTTTCTGGCTGGGGATTGGATAACTGACAGCAAAGCTGCTATTGCGTGCGTGCAATGACGTAATTTGTGCCGTAAACACCTCACACAGCCACCTGGGCATGGTCGTCTGGGGGGTGTTGAACAGTTCATTGCTGATCCCAGTGTACTCACATGCATTACTCATACCTCCCGTATTTGGCAATGCGCAATGAGCTTATTGTGTGCGTGCATGTGAGCACATGTGTGCTGGCGCGAGTGTGTGCATACGTGCATGCTGGCGCGAGTGTGTGCATACGTGCATGCTGGCGCGAGTGTGTGCATACGTGCGTGCTGGCGCGAATGTGTGCATACGTGCGTGCTGGCGCGAGTGTGTGCATACGTGCATGCTGGCGCGAGTGTGTGCATACGTGCATGCTGGCGCGAGTGTGTGCATACGTGCATGCTGGCGCGGGCGTGTGCATACGTGCATGCTGGCGCGAGTGTGTGCATACGTGCATGCTGGCGCGAGTGTGTGCATACATGCATGCTGGCGCGAGTGTGTGCATACATGCATGCTGGCGCGAGTGTGTGCATACATGCATGCTGGCGCGAGTGTGTGCATACGTGCATGCTGGCGCGAGTGTGTGCATACGTGCATGCTGGCGCGAGTGTGTGCATACGTGCGTGCTGGCGCGAGTGTGTGCATACGTGCGTGCTGGCGCGAGTGTGTGCATACATGCATGCTGGCGCGAGTGTGTGCATACATGCATGCTGGCGCGAGTGTGTGCATACATGCATGCTGGCGCGAGTGTGTGCATACATGCATGCTGGCGCGAGTGTGTGCATACATGCATGCTGGCGCGAGTGTGTGCATACATGCATGCTGGCGCGAGTGTGTGCATACATGCATGCTGGCGCGAGTGTGTGCATACGTGCATGCTGGCGCGAGTGTGTGCATACGTGCATGCTGGCGCGAGTGTGTGCATACGTGCATGCTGGCGCGAGTGTGTGCATACATGCATGCTGGCGCGAGTGTGTGCATACATGCATGCTGGCGCGAGTGTGTGCATACATGCATGCTGGCGCGAGTGTGTGCATACGTGCATGCTGGCGCGAGTGTGTGCATACGTGCATGCTGGCGCGAGTGTGTGCATACGTGCATGCTGGCGCGAGTGTGTGCATACGTGCATGCTGGCGCGAGTGTGTGCATACGTGCATGCTGGCGCGAGTGTGTGCATACGTGCATGCTGGCGCGAGTGTGTGCATACGTGCATGCTGGCGCGAGTGTGTGCATACGTGCATGCTGGCGCGAGTGTGTGCATACGTGCATGCTGGCGCGAGTGTGTGCATACGTGCATGCTGGCGCGAGTGTGTGCATACGTGCATGCTGGCGCGAGTGTGTGCATACGTGCATGCTGGCGCGAGTGTGTGCATACGTGCATGCTGGCGCGAGTGTGTGCATACGTGCATGCTGGCGCGAGTGTGTGCATACGTGCATGCTGGCGCGAGTGTGTGCATACGTGCATGCTGGCGCGAGTGTGTGCATACGTGCATGCTGGCGCGAGTGTGTGCATACGTGCATGCTGGCGCGAGTGTGTGCATACGTGCATGCTGGCGCGAGTGTGTGCATACGTGCATGCTGGCGCGAGTGTGTGCATACGTGCATGCTGGCGCGAGTGTGTGCATACGTGCATGCTGGCGCGAGTGTGTGCATACGTGCATGCTGGCGCGAGTGTGTGCATACGTGCATGCTGGCGCGAGTGTGTGCATACGTGCATGCTGGCGCGAGTGTGTGCATACGTGCATGCTGGCGCGAGTGTGTGCATACGTGCATGCTGGCGCGAGTGTGTGCATACGTGCATGCTGGCGCGAGTGTGTGCATACGTGCATGCTGGCGCGAGTGTGTGCATACGTGCATGCTGGCGCGAGTGTGTGCATACGTGCATGCTGGCGCGAGTGTGTGCATACGTGCATGCTGGCGCGAGTGTGTGCATACGTGCATGCTGGCGCGAGTGTGTGCATACGTGCATGCTGGCGCGAGTGTGTGCATACGTGCATGCTGGCGCGAGTGTGTGCATACGTGCATGCTGGCGCGAGTGTGTGCATACGTGCATGCTGGCGCGAGTGTGTGCATACGTGCATGCTGGCGCGAGTGTGTGCATACGTGCATGCTGGCGCGAGTGTGTGCATACGTGCATGCTGGCGCGAGTGTGTGCATACGTGCATGCTGGCGCGAGTGTGTGCATACGTGCATGCTGGCGCGAGTGTGTGCATACGTGCATGCTGGCGCGAGTGTGTGCATACGTGCATGCTGGCGCGAGTGTGTGCATACGTGCATGCTGGCGCGAGTGTGTGCATACGTGCATGCTGGCGCGAGTGTGTGCATACGTGCATGCTGGCGCGAGTGTGTGCATACGTGCATGCTGGCGCGAGTGTGTGCATACGTGCATGCTGGCGCGAGTGTGTGCATACGTGCATGCTGGCGCGAGTGTGTGCATACGTGCATGCTGGCGCGAGTGTGTGCATACGTGCATGCTGGCGCGAGTGTGTGCATACGTGCATGCTGGCGCGAGTGTGTGCATACGTGCATGCTGGCGCGAGTGTGTGCATACGTGCATGCTGGCGCGAGTGTGTGCATACGTGCATGCTGGCGCGAGTGTGTGCATACGTGCATGCTGGCGCGAGTGTGTGCATACGTGCATGCTGGCGCGAGTGTGTGCATACGTGCATGCTGGCGCGAGTGTGTGCATACGTGCATGCTGGCGCGAGTGTGTGCATACGTGCATGCTGGCGCGAGTGTGTGCATACGTGCATGCTGGCGCGAGTGTGTGCATACGTGCATGCTGGCGCGAGTGTGTGCATACGTGCATGCTGGCGCGAGTGTGTGCATACGTGCATGCTGGCGCGAGTGTGTGCATACGTGCATGCTGGCGCGAGTGTGTGCATACGTGCATGCTGGCGCGAGTGTGTGCATACGTGCATGCTGGCGCGAGTGTGTGCATACGTGCATGCTGGCGCGAGTGTGTGCATACGTGCATGCTGGCGCGAGTGTGTGCATACGTGCATGCTGGCGCGAGTGTGTGCATACGTGCATGCTGGCGCGAGTGTGTGCATACGTGCATGCTGGCGCGAGTGTGTGCATACGTGCATGCTGGCGCGAGTGTGTGCATACGTGCATGCTGGCGCGAGTGTGTGCATACGTGCATGCTGGCGCGAGTGTGTGCATACGTGCATGCTGGCGCGAGTGTGTGCATACGTGCATGCTGGCGCGAGTGTGTGCATACGTGCATGCTGGCGCGAGTGTGTGCATACGTGCATGCTGGCGCGAGTGTGTGCATACGTGCATGCTGGCGCGAGTGTGTGCATACGTGCATGCTGGCGCGAGTGTGTGCATACGTGCATGCTGGCGCGAGTGTGTGCATACGTGCATGCTGGCGCGAGTGTGTGCATACGTGCATGCTGGCGCGAGTGTGTGCATACGTGCATGCTGGCGCGAGTGTGTGCATACGTGCATGCTGGCGCGAGTGTGTGCATACGTGCATGCTGGCGCGAGTGTGTGCATACGTGCATGCTGGCGCGAGTGTGTGCATACGTGCATGCTGGCGCGAGTGTGTGCATACGTGCATGCTGGCGCGAGTGTGTGCATACGTGCATGCTGGCGCGAGTGTGTGCATACGTGCATGCTGGCGCGAGTGTGTGCATACGTGCATGCTGGCGCGAGTGTGTGCATACGTGCATGCTGGCGCGAGTGTGTGCATACGTGCATGCTGGCGCGAGTGTGTGCATACGTGCATGCTGGCGCGAGTGTGTGCATACGTGCATGCTGGCGCGAGTGTGTGCATACGTGCATGCTGGCGCGAGTGTGTGCATACGTGCATGCTGGCGCGAGTGTGTGCATACGTGCATGCTGGCGCGAGTGTGTGCATACGTGCATGCTGGCGCGAGTGTGTGCATACGTGCATGCTGGCGCGAGTGTGTGCATACGTGCATGCTGGCGCGAGTGTGTGCATACGTGCATGCTGGCGCGAGTGTGTGCATACGTGCATGCTGGCGCGAGTGTGTGCATACGTGCATGCTGGCGCGAGTGTGTGCATACGTGCATGCTGGCGCGAGTGTGTGCATACGTGCATGCTGGCGCGAGTGTGTGCATACGTGCATGCTGGCGCGAGTGTGTGCATACGTGCATGCTGGCGCGAGTGTGTGCATACGTGCATGCTGGCGCGAGTGTGTGCATACGTGCATGCTGGCGCGAGTGTGTGCATACGTGCATGCTGGCGCGAGTGTGTGCATACGTGCATGCTGGCGCGAGTGTGTGCATACGTGCATGCTGGCGCGAGTGTGTGCATACGTGCATGCTGGCGCGAGTGTGTGCATACGTGCATGCTGGCGCGAGTGTGTGCATACGTGCATGCTGGCGCGAGTGTGTGCATACGTGCATGCTGGCGCGAGTGTGTGCATACGTGCATGCTGGCGCGAGTGTGTGCATACGTGCATGCTGGCGCGAGTGTGTGCATACGTGCATGCTGGCGCGAGTGTGTGCATACGTGCATGCTGGCGCGAGTGTGTGCATACGTGCATGCTGGCGCGAGTGTGTGCATACGTGCATGCTGGCGCGAGTGTGTGCATACGTGCATGCTGGCGCGAGTGTGTGCATACGTGCATGCTGGCGCGAGTGTGTGCATACGTGCATGCTGGCGCGAGTGTGTGCATACGTGCATGCTGGCGCGAGTGTGTGCATACGTGCATGCTGGCGCGAGTGTGTGCATACGTGCATGCTGGCGCGAGTGTGTGCATACGTGCATGCTGGCGCGAGTGTGTGCATACGTGCATGCTGGCGCGAGTGTGTGCATACGTGCATGCTGGCGCGAGTGTGTGCATACGTGCATGCTGGCGCGAGTGTGTGCATACGTGCATGCTGGCGCGAGTGTGTGCATACGTGCATGCTGGCGCGAGTGTGTGCATACGTGCATGCTGGCGCGAGTGTGTGCATACGTGCATGCTGGCGCGAGTGTGTGCATACGTGCATGCTGGCGCGAGTGTGTGCATACGTGCATGCTGGCGCGAGTGTGTGCATACGTGCATGCTGGCGCGAGTGTGTGCATACGTGCATGCTGGCGCGAGTGTGTGCATACGTGCATGCTGGCGCGAGTGTGTGCATACGTGCATGCTGGCGCGAGTGTGTGCATACGTGCATGCTGGCGCGAGTGTGTGCATACGTGCATGCTGGCGCGAGTGTGTGCATACGTGCATGCTGGCGCGAGTGTGTGCATACGTGCATGCTGGCGCGAGTGTGTGCATACGTGCATGCTGGCGCGAGTGTGTGCATACGTGCATGCTGGCGCGAGTGTGTGCATACGTGCATGCTGGCGCGAGTGTGTGCATACGTGCATGCTGGCGCGAGTGTGTGCATACGTGCATGCTGGCGCGAGTGTGTGCATACGTGCATGCTGGCGCGAGTGTGTGCATACGTGCATGCTGGCGCGAGTGTGTGCATACGTGCATGCTGGCGCGAGTGTGTGCATACGTGCATGCTGGCGCGAGTGTGTGCATACATCACAGCGGTACACTACCAGCAATCTTACCGCATGTGTTTTACTCAGCTTCTGCACACCCAGCAGGTTCTGACCCAGGTCGGACGACGACGCGATCGGCTCTCGCTCTCGAACCCAGGCCGCTTCGTCAGCCAGATCGCGATAGAACAAGTAGAGGCAGAGGGAGTCGTCGAGTTGCTTGCGACGCCGAGCCAGCGGTATCTCCAGATTGCAGTATCTGTACAGGGTGGATACAAAGCCAGAATGTCACGTGAATACCATATTTTCCGGAGTATAAGCCGCACTTTGAACACTCAAAATTCACCCCAAAAGGGGGGGGGGGCTTATACTCCAATGATCAAGTTAACGGTGGTAAATAGGATAGATGACTATATTCCGTGACAAAAACGGGGGGGGGGGGGGGGGTATACTCGAGTGTGGCTTATACTCTGGAAAATACGGTAGATGAGGTTTCATTGCCCTGTCATGTAACGGTGTGGGGTAAAAACTACTAAAAAATAACATGCAGGGTCCTGAAAGAAGTAAGTTACTTTGTATCCGATGCAACACCAGTATGCTACATCCAGGCTACTTTAGGCTGTACAAGCGGAGAGCTAGAGCCCGTTTACCGGTAGTTAGAAGCAGGGAGTCGTAAATGTTTTTACGACTCCCGAGGTATATTATGCATCAGCTTGGCGCAACTAGGATGCCCAAAAAAAGAGAAAAAAAGAGAGAGCAGGCAGCAGAGAGCAGAGAGTAGGGAGCAGGGAGCAGAGAGCAGACAGCAGACAGCAGATACTAGACAACAGACAGCAGGGACACCAGAGACAGCAGAGAACAGAGAACAGAGAGCAGAGGGCAGAGAGCAGACACTAGACAACAGCAGAGCAGAGAGCAGAGTCTTACTTTTCCACCAGTGCTCTGGACTTGTCCTCGATCTGCTCAATCTGGAAGTGACCGTTGTCGTGGAATGTGCGTGCTTGTGCACTGATGTCATCCACACGGTCCTGATGAGCTGCCACGTCAGATTCCAGCAACTACAGGTACGGGATAAGAGCCAGAAGGTGTGCATCTAATCATACATCGACTTAAAGTAGAAGCAGAGTTCACACATCCGCGTTACGTTTGCACATCCGCTTTACCATCGGCTAGACAGTTGTGTTGAGAAACACACACACACACTCGTGAATGGAAATGCCCGCATCAACAAAATCAGATACACTGTATGCACATGTTCTGGGACTGGTGATGATGGATGGCTGCATTCGGGCACACGGACTGTATTGGGGAGAGGGACGGCAACTAGGGTGGCCCGGGAATGCGTCTCAAAGATCGTTGTACAACTGTCACCAGCCTAGAGGGGCAACAAGTTACAGTAAAAACCTGCCCTAACCGGTGCAGCGGAAACTGTCCCGATATGACAGGACTCTGTTTGGTCCAGGGGTGCCCGTTCGATTCACATCATGTTGGCGCATGACAATTTGTCCGGTCAATACAGGATTCCGCTTGGCACGGGTCCGGTCAATACAGGATTCCGCTTGGCACGGGTCCGGCAAACACAGATTTTACTCTACTAGCATCATTTCCTTTGCCACATTCACGTATTAGCAATCTAGGGAGGGGGATCATCAAATACACCGTATGAATTGAAGATTACTATCCTTATTGAAGCTCACTATCCCATAAAAAGTCCACCATCCCGTATAAAGTCTGTTATCCCGTAAGAAGTCCACCGTCCCGCTTAAAGTCTGTTACTCCATATGTAGTCCACACTGTTCTCTGTGACTGACCTGGTAGTTCTTGAGCAGTTCATTGACGCTGGGCAGGTCTTTGCCAATGTCCTCCGATGCCAGCGCTTGCTCGGTCTCATCCAGCCATCGCTCAATATCCTCGCAGTTGCGGTTGAACAGACGCTGCTGCCAGGCCTCTTGTAGCTTGGAGGCCTGGTTGTACAGAGGTTAGAAAGCAATAATAATAAGAAGAAGACTGCATATTATCTTGTTACAGTCGTGGATAGTTGCTTCATCATTCGTTTCCATGTGATTTCTTCTGTTTAGAAGAAGAACAATAAAACTGCGAACGTTACCATTTGAAGAAGAACAGCTTGTATATTACTCGGAATTGAGCTCTACGCATCTGTGAGTGAAAGGGTTCCATTCATGTCTGTTTTGGCTAAGACAAAGGCTTCAGAAAAAGTGATGTTGGTTTTCCTCAGATCCTGTTTCATAAAAAAGTAATCCCAGGCATAAATAATGGCATCACAGCCAAAGCTGAAGAAAAGACATTGCCTCCATTATGTCCGTGAGATGTGTAAGTTTTGTATTGGCTGAAAAAGAGATGAAAAGATATCAGAAAAAAAAGTTGGGTCTGTCCGGGATTTGAACCCGGGACCTCTCGCACCCTAAGCGAGAATCATACCCCTAGACCAACAGACCAACCACATGACATCTACTGCCCAAATTCCTCACAATCATGTGAACACATCGTCGTGTTGCACCAAACTTGAACAATGACTTGGGTTTCATGTGAAATTAACTTGCTTCCTCGCATTCTAACCCACTCCCTCGTACCCTCCCTCCTGCAGTCTCTCTCTCTTTCTCTCCCTCTCTCCCTCCCTCTCACTCACTCACTCACTCACTCACTCACTCTCACTCTCACTCTCACAATCACTCACAGGCACACAGGCACACACGCACACGCATACCCTCACTAAATTACCCATTTATAGAAGAAAACATGATCCATACCTTGTCTGAAGATTTCTCACTAAGGAGATCCCACTGCTGCTGCAGATAGTCCACTGCCGTCTCCATCTCATCCGAGGCGTAGTGGCCTTCGTCCACCAATGTTGTACAGGTCTGCCAAAATGCAAGTGTGCAAGTACGCACGCACACACGCGCGCACACAAACACACACACACACACACACACGTGTGAGCACATGCGCCCGCACGCCCGTGCGCGCACACACACACACACGCACGCACACACACACACACACCTTAAACCTTGAACTTGCCCATTGCCCATTGCCAAAGGCAATGATAGCGAAAGGACTAATTTGGCTGCAACAGGCAGAAAGGTTCATGGCGCATGTGGTCGCACACACACAAGTGCATACATGCACACAGTCTCACCTTGGCTATCATATCTACACGCGCCCGATTAGCGGTGAGCTCAGCCTCAAACGCCTGGTGTTTCTGCAGCTTGGCTAGAAGATTGGTGGGGTCGCGGTATGATTCGTCGGAGGCAGTCTGCAGCTTACCAACAATCCACATCTCCATCTGAACAAAGAGAGGGAAGAGACATGGAGCAGCTACAGATTCAGCCTAGCTCTAATCTGATGCCAAAACAATATGTTTCACAGCCGCAGTTGCACACTGGTAGCTCATCTTGACCACTGTCTCATCCACAGGCACGTAGACCGCATGGGGCACGGGGTGCACACGTGCACCTTCCTAAAATTGTTGACCTACATGTAAGTTCAGCATGCACATAATAACCATGAATGATATGCACCAGCCATCCTACACATATGCGGTCGTGCACCCCCCCCCCTCCCCCCCCCTAAAAGAGGGACCAGCTATGCCCCTACATCCATGTCCTAATACGGCTGGTGGGGCACACAGTTGTGAATCGTGCTCAAAATTTTCATGACCGTATTTTTCGGTTATAAGTCCACCTTTTGTGATCAAGAACCTAATTGCAAAAGAGGCAATCGACTTACGCCCGGGGTTCAACCGCTATTGGCCATATTGAATTACTGATATTGAACCAGCATATCGAGGCCCAGACAGTGGGGTCGACTCATACCAGGCAACACACGGCATACCTATGCATGACAAGCCTCGGCAGTGCTAAATAGTGTGTGTGTGTGTACCAAGAAAAAACTTGATCTGTTACTGAGAACCATTCATGTCCCAATAAACCTCTTACCGGCATGCAGAACTGCACACTTTGTTTCATAGAGAACACTTCGTAGTCATCCAACTTTCGTAAATGCCATCGATCGGGCCGCGGGGGGGGGGGGGGGTTACTACGTACATGCATACAGTACTAACGTACAGTGAGTGTGACATATGTTAGTATCAAAGAGTTTCAATTTTGTAAGTGGCGGGAACCCTACGAAACAACGACGAAATATATTGATTTAGAGTAGGGGGAAACAATTATACCGAATACTCGAGTACTCGCTCGGTTTTTTCAAAAATAATCGTACTCGGAATAAATCAGAGTACTCGTTCATACATGGTACATGCGTTTACCACCGAAATCTGCAGTTTCAGAGCAGCAGTCGGCAGATATTGATGTGCAGACTGTGTGGTGAACATTTGTTCATGAGTAGAGAGAGCCCAAATGACCCACCAACCAATATACCCGAGAAAAATGACTGCTACTTGATTCAACCAGGGTTGCATCATGTGATTGTAAGGCACTTGGTGTGCAATTTTTAGGAGATGAAGAATACTCGAATACTCGAATATTCGATCGGAGAAAATCAGAGTACTCGAACTCGGGATCTCAGTGCCAACTTTCACCCCTAATTTAGAGTAATACATGTAAGGCTATCTATCCAGTGTCCACTCACCTCGTGCGTGTCCCGCAAGAACTGCTGCAGTTGGTAGGAGCTGTTCAGCTTGTCACGACGTAGCTGAGCTAGATCTTGTAGCTTGGTAAATCTGGACAGAGGCACAAAACAAAAGACAAGAGACTCTAGCTTGAAGTGGGCCTTCAATCTACCACAAACTTACAACTCCAAGGGAAAGTAATCATCCATGGACAAAAAAAATTGGCTGTTTCCACCCGGGATCGAACCGGGGACCTTTCGCGTGTTAGGCGAACGTGATAACCGCTACACTATGGAAACTTGCTTGTAAACATCCCTGCCCCACACACTCACTATATTTCCAGCACTGATCGGCCGCAAAGAAGAAAAAAAGTTGGTTGGCAGCGGTGGGATTCGAACCCACGCCTCCGGAGAGACTGGAGCCTTAATCCAGCGCCTTAGACCACTCGGCCACGCTACCTCACACATTTGTACGTGAAATAGTATGCTAGTCGAAGGATGCAGAATTGCAGATATAGTGAGTGGATCTTGCGCATTCTTGTGACAGCATTCCAAAAAATGGTGGCCGCTGCTTTGGCGATACCTTCCCGATAAGGCATGGGGTTTCTTTCCTTTCTGGACACCAACAGATATAATTATGAAAGAGCATAAACGCTGCAAATGGAATATGTGGGCATTTGATTGTTAGAAGTTTCCAGGCTGATTGGTCCAGCTCTACCGGGAGGGAGTTTGCAAGAGCTCATAGAGAAGGATATGTAACTCTGGTACCCGTCTGGGTGTTTGGGGGGGGGGGGGGGGGGGGGGGGGCTGATGTCAGCTTTTCCAGCAATCTTGAGTCATTCCTTGCCCAAGGTTTGCACTACATAACACCCCGAGTATGCGACATTTGGGTGGCAACTGGTAAGGTGTGGTAGCGGTGGTGGCGGTCGGTACTGCTGCTGTGTCTCGTAAAGTAACTTTTTACAAAACACTCCACTGTGGACCAAACATACACAGCTTGGTCGCATACTCTTGCTCATGTCTTTGCAACCCCAAGCAACAAAACAACTGTCGAACGGCAGACTGCCAAAAATGTATGGCTGTTTCCACCCGGGATCGAACCGGGGACCTTTCGCGTGTTAGGCGAACGTGATAACCGCTACACTATGGAAACTTGCACGTCATCCTCCCTCCCAGATGCCGTCCTATCTTTATGCAGCCATGCAACACCGAAGAAAAAAAAGTTGATTGGCAGCGGTGGGATTCGAACCCACGCCTCCGGAGAGACTGGAGCCTAAATCCAGCGCCTTAGACCACTCGGCCACGCTACCATACACATTATCTACAATCGAAGCGCATGCACACGTATGTAAAATTAATAAGACGAGACAAATTGTAAGACCACATAATGATAATTTTCAAATTTTTCACAGAAGGACAAAGTTTAGCAATGACCAACCCCTGAAGCAAAAACATGTCAACTTGAAACCTGCCTAGTACAGAATGGTTTTTTCGACAAACAAAAATTGCCCTCAGCCCATCCCCGCAACCCATCCAATTCTGTGAGAAAGATCTATTGCTATAGACTGCCCAGCTGCGCGTGCAACAGTAACTGTTGGATAACAGACTTCCGACTTGACTGGATGTTCGGATTCGTAGCCACCCAGCTTTCAACATGCAGCAATGGATAGTGATAAGTTTGCAATGAGCCTGTCAGTCTCAAGGAACCATGCCGCCAAGTGTACAACCACAACGGCCGTATCCAGTACATCCACTCACAAACTGGACATGAGTGCCCGGGTGCTGCCAGTGTGCTGGAAAATGACAGAGGTTTCCAAAGATGATTCGTGTTTGCTAGCTTTTCCACAGCATCACAACGACTTGCACGACCCGCAGCATCACATGGACTTTAACCACCCACAACATCACATCAACTTGAGCAATATGCTGCTATTGCGAAGATTCTGGTGGTACCATGAAGTGGGAAACCTTTGTGATCTGGAATCGTCTGCGATTTTCACGATGGGTGTGAAATTGCGAAAGTAAGCCTGCGCGAAGAGCAGAACTGTAGAAGTAGAACTGGTGCAAATTGCAAACCCGTCCAGGTGCAAATTGATCTGTGCACGCAACTCGCAAACTAAAATCGGCGCAAACGTTTCCCAGTTTATGGTACTCCAGGGCTTCATAATGTTGTGATTTTTGCGCGTGCGTATGTTTGTGTGAAGAGCCGTACTGAGCTGAGCGCTGCAGCATGAGAACTAACAGCGGTTGCTATTAGAGAGGTTCCGGAGTACGATTTTTCGTGCCAAAATCCGTAGAGGCGCTACGGATTTTTTATACGTCGTTTTCGAGCAGTGAAATGCTCCGGAGTACGGAACTTATGTGTTTGCCGCCATTGCCTAGGTTACGATCGCAAGCACGTCACATTCCCGCGCTATGCCTTTTTATTTTGAAAATTTGTACCGAAATCAAATCTTCCTGCCGAATCGATGTTTCTCGTACCAAATTTGTACCCGAAAAATCTTTCTGCACTCGATGACGCAAAATTTCCATACGAAACATGGTTCGTATGAAAGCCCGTCCACACGGATTCTCCGTGCCGAAAAATCGTATGGAGCACGCCTCGAAAAAATCCGTAGAGCCCATACGGATTTTGGCACGGAAAACCGTACCCCTGAACCTCTCTATTCTCTTCAGTTTCGTACTCTTGTTTGTTCTGTGACCGTTCAGGGCAAGTGCTCATGGGGTCAAAAACTCAAACCATTGACAAAGTATATTTTTAAAAAAAATTAGCTGTTTCCACCCGGGATCGAACCGGGGACCTTTCGCGTGTTAGGCGAACGTGATAACCGCTACACTATGGAAACTTGCTTGATTCCTCTCCTACCAATATATCGCTATGTTCACTGTCACCACCGACAGCATTGAAAAAAAGAAAAAAAAGATGGTTGGCAGCGGTGGGATTCGAACCCACGCCTCCGGAGAGACTGGAGCCTTAATCCAGCGCCTTAGACCACTCGGCCACGCTACCCTACATGAAGACTGTTCTTCCATTTTCGAAAGTTGTAGACAACTGCAGAGCAATCCTGCCTTCATTTTCGTATTGAAAACACAAGGCTGTACCTTTCTCTCAGTGACAGGCAGTGGCAAGACACAATGGCTAAGAGTATGCAACTGTGATCTCCTTTCTATGTGAGAGATGCACGGCATGATGCCTTCAGTGCCGGTACACTGCACATCATACAGCCACCATGCACAAACTGCTACGGACCGTGGAAAAACAAACACCGCGCTTTCCCCTGTGCTTTGAAACTGACTTTTGTACGGAACTGCAATTCACGCACCGAAACATGGATATTGGGCCCTCAAACGAATCAACAGATGTGCTATGCACTGTGGAAAATCAAACGCCGCGCTTTCCCCTGTGCTTTGAAACCGACTTTTGTACGGAACTGCAGTTCACGCACCGAAACATGGATATCGGGCACTCGAACGAATCAACAGATGTGCTTGTATGAGAGATTGTGTGTTTGCGTGCATTAGTACAGGACGAGACGCATGCAGGCTACGCACTGAAGCGGCAGCATGCCACACACTGACCTACAAAAAGAAAAGAAAACTTCACGGTTCGCGTGAGATTCGGCTGGAGGCCAAGTTTTCCGCATCCGTAGGAACGCCACCGACATCAAGTATCAAGGCGCAGATACAGCTACAAGCACAGCTGTATACTGCACTCTTGATTATGAACTCTAGCCTCTACCCGGTTGGATGGCGGTAGAAATGGGCAGTGAAGTTTACATCAACCACACGACCGCACAAGAAAAGAAAAGAAATGCCAGTGCTATGCAAAAAAGTGTACCACTACACACATATTTGCAGGACCACGTTGAGTTCAAAGAAAAAAAGTCGGCTGGCAGCGGTGGGATTCGAACCCACGCCTCCGGAGAGACTGGAGCCTAAATCCAGCGCCTTAGACCACTCGGCCACGCTACCCAAGACAACAGTTCATGGTTTGGGAAGGAGATATGTGCATTAGATACACTCCATATTTAGAAAACATTGCATCTTCCACGTCCACACTCCACATGCACAGTCATGTTATGTCAGTCAGTTGATCATCCAGTCTGCAGTGCAGACTGCAGACTCTGTTGATCTGCAGACGAAGCCTCATTCAGGTTTTGCATGCCATATTTGGCCATTGAATAATCCTGGATCAAGAGCTGATAAACAAACAGCTCGCGGATGATCATGGAATGGCTTTTGGCATCCCCGACAGGAACCGCTTCATTCCACATAATTATGTTGTCGCAAAACAGTGGTAGGGAGAGGTTTCTGTGAGAGGACTACTATCTATGTCCCTGACAGAACTCTACAACCATCAGCCACAACAAAATCCACCAGCCACGAACATTTTGATTCAGTTTTTTTTCCTATCGAGATGAATGTTGAACTATGGGCATGTTCGATTGGTAAGGATCGGGATCCAGATCTCAGATCCGTCGGATCCTTCAGAGTCAACTGGACACTTTTTTGGGCCTTGACTGTTGCCATGTTGACGAAGTAATAAAAAGTCTTACTCACCGTGCCAGTTGTACAAAAAGTGAACAAGCTCTATCTCGATTCACCTGTGCGTACCACAATGTGTACAAAATGATTTTTACCCGCCATATACGCACAAAGGTCACATTTGGATCCGTTGGATCCGGTCAACCCTGCTCCCCGAGGTGGGTTGACCGGATCCAAATCCGAAGGATCCGGATCCGGATTCGACCAATCGAAAGGGTGCAAATCCAGTGGATCCCGTGGATCGGGATCCCGTGGATCGGGATCCCGATCCTACCAATCAAACATGCCCTATGTATGCCCCATAATGTCCTTTTATATAGTTGATCGGCTTAGTGATCACGGGGAATTCAGGCTTTTAGCATAGGAATATACAGCAGAAGCTATCTCGGCGATATGGGAAAAGCAGACATGTGAACCAGGCGGAGGCATGTACATCACCATGACCGAAACAAGCAAGAAAACAATTTTGTCACAGACTCTATCTTCCGCGAGTTTCAATTCTCCGGTGCAGGCTCACTTGCTTGTGTGTTTTACGAAATTCCCACACAAAACCTGTTTGCCTGCTCTTGGTGAAACGTGCAAAAAAGAAAGTGCATGTTTCCACCCGGGATCGAACCGGGGACCTTTCGCGTGTTAGGCGAACGTGATAACCGCTACACTATGGAAACACAGCTGATATGCAACATTCACTTCATCATCTTTCAGGTAGGGCATAGCAGAATTCATCGCTCCAGTAAAGGACTCCAAGGAACTCTTCTACACCGTTATAGCCTTGCACAATAGTGCTGAATGTACAGTTGTGGACTGCGTATTCGAGCACCTTGTGACAAACCGCTGCATGGATCATGGAAGCATACTAGTAATCTTGCTGTCTGAACGTATACAGACTACACACAGTGCATTCAGTTCATCGTGAGTCTACAGTTCCTGACTCACCTCTCCACCACAGCAGATTGGCGCAAGGAGACGTTCTTGGCATCATAATGGTTATCCCCGACCAGCGCCTCCGCGAGTGTGTTGACCGAGTCCACCTTCTCTCGCTGTGCATCCAGGGTTTTCTCGAAATCATCATGCTTCTTCAGCAGAGCTTCGGCACGATCCATGGAGTCCTGGTGTGTGTGTGGAGAGAGAGAGAGAGAGAGAGAGAGAGAGAGAGAGAGAGAGAGAGAGAGAGAGAGTGAGAGAGAGAGAGTGAGAGAGAGAGAGAGAGAGAGAACTTTCGTCAGTCGCAGGTCTGGGAGCAAATACACGTAGCTCGGCAGAGCTGGCAACATCTGCAAATGAACGGCAATGATTGAAAAGTAACGACACTCAGCAAAATCTATCTCGAATGAGTGCAGTGCTACACGTGGGAAAGACAGGCGTGATCTGATCACCATGTGCCATGTACATACACACATGAACTGACACATGTGTGTGTGTGTGTGGGGGGGGGGGGGGGGGGGGGGGGTTACAGTACCCCGGGCACCAATAGATACAAGCACAACCTACACCAAGGTCTCCTTGTGACAAGAATGCTTCTTGATTGCCAATCCAAGCATCCACGTGCTCCACATCGCGGAGGAACACCTGGTAGGAACGGAGCGCAACAGACGGATGGATGGACGGACGGACGGACGGACGGACGGACGGGCAGACAGACACAAACAGACACAAACACACAAGCACGCACACAGATATACGAAGGATCAGATCACAGCCAGAAGCACTGCAATGTCAGATCAGTCCTACTACATGCAGACCATCACTAAACAACATGCATTACCGTCAAGCCAGAGAGGTGCATATACTCACTCACTCACTCACCACGAATACATGGTGGTGTACCTTGCATTCAGATGGTTACAAATCATCTCTCCCATCTGCACAACGACTGTGCAAGATGATCGGAAAGCTCGTGTGAATGTGAATGCAGGATCCATGACAAGAACAGGACACCAACCCCGTGTAGAACATAATACCGTGACAGTACACATGGAATTACAGTAAAACCTGCCAAGACGACCGCTAGGATGGGGCGACCACCTGTCCTAAAAGACCACTGAAACCAGGATCAAGGGATGCTACTTCCATTCCAATGACCCTGGATAAGGAGACAGACCACCTGGTAACAGAGACCACGTTCTGAAGGTTCCTTGAGCGGTCGTCTTAGACAGGTTTCGCTGTACAAAATTAAGTCGAGAAGACGTCGCTTACCTGTAGATCATAGCACTGTGTGAACTGTTCAGCCTTGTCCTGCCATGCCTCCAGCAGCTTGGCATGTCCATCCTCCAGCTGGTCTAGATGCGAGCGAACCTCACTGCTCAGCATGTGATCGTTCGTGATCAACGTCTGTGATCAAGCAATATATACACATAACAAACACATGCATGCAAACGCACACACAGATGCAAACACGCACACACATACCCCACATGTGTGTGTTTGACCATATGCATGAACACACAAACAAACGCAAACGCACACGCAGACACACATGCCCGCCCGCCCGCATGCACACACACACACACACACACACACACACACACACACACACACACACACACACACACACACACACACACACACACACACACACGCACGCACACTTTAATAGGGTGGCCAACAAGCTCATCATCAGCACAGGTTTCTAGACACACGAACAGGAGCAGTGATACCTGCCAATGGAGAGGAGTCAGAAATCATTATCCATGAAGTTTGTTCGCAATGATGGAACACTTGACTGTGGCACACACATGCACACGCGCATGCACACATCCTCCCCCCCCCCCCCCCCCCCCACACACACACACACCACTATCATCACTACGATAGCCGCCATCGCCACACACAAAGGCGTACGGATACTCTCATGCGGATTGAACTGTACCTCGCCAAATTCCTTCACAGCTTGCACACGCTCATCTCTGGCATCTATCTCCACCTAGTGAGAGGAGAGAGAACAAGAAACGTACATACATTCACACACACACACACGCGTGCAAACACACCCACACCCACCCACACATACACACACGCACACACACACACACACACACACACACACACACACACACACACACACACGCACACACACACACACACACACACACACGCACACGCACACACACACACACACACACACACACACACACACACACACGCATGCGCAAGTATTACCACAAGTACATACTGACCACATACCCAACATAAACATTGAAAGTTCCAGGCATCAAGTTAATTGAGGGCACTGGTACCAGCCACTCTCACCATGTCCAAGAACACAAGTGAACGCTGGGTCGCCTGGCAAGGAAGTGATTTGATGCTACCTGGCTCTGCCATAGGAAGAGAACCTGGGTGCGTGTAACATCAAGTGTGAAACACAGCGCTAAATACACAGTCCAGCGTGTACATGCACACCATGCAAACCATGCACACCATGCACACCATGCACACCATGCACACCATGCACACACAAGTGGTGAGATCGTCAGTGCAACGCCGCCGCTATTATATGCAAACCTTCGCAGTGTACCTAGCTGCAGCCAGTGAAATACATCACAAGCAGGAGCTGCACGACATGTGTGTACAGTAAAAGCTGTCAAGGTGACCACTCGGATAAGGCGAACACCTGTCCAAGAAGACCACTGAAACCAGGACCAAGGGATGCTATTTCCAGTCAACTGACCCTGGATAAGGAGACCACCTGGTAACAGAGACAACCTTGTGAAGGTCCCTTGAGCGGTCGTCTTAGACAGGTTTCACCGTATGTGTATGTGTGTGTGTGGGGGGGGGGGGGGCATGGGGACAGTCACAGACACACCCGGCTACTGCCATAGTGTCAAATATATAACGTGCAGAGCTGGTCACAAACATGGACAAGATGGAATAAACTCAAAAAGAGGACCAAAAGTTTACAAGTTATCCGTTTTGTCCAACACTAACGGTTATAAGCAGAATACTGTTGAGTCAAAAATGTGCAACAATTAGCACAAAACTGACTGATGAGATCATGACATTCAACGACCTGATGCTTAGCTGCATCGCGTCTAGAATGCGCAAACCATTAACCCTTGGCTCTCCATCCGAGTTTAACATGGAATAAACTGTTTTTACTCCGAGTTTCACGCCAAATGCGTGCCGAACACAGTCCTACTCCCAATGTCGATGTGGGAGCGACCAATATCCTAGCAACCAGTGCTGTAGGAATCCAGCGGACCAGACTTGCAGTGTGTACAGCGTGTACAGTGTATACAGTGTATACAGCGTGTACAGCGTGTACAGCGTGTACAGTGTGTACAGTGTGTACAGTGTGTGCAGTGTGTACAGTGTGTACAGTGTGTACAGTGTGTACAGTGTGTACAGTGTGTACAGTGTGTGCAGTGTGTACAGCGTACACGACACACACCACTGGACTCTTAAAGGATAGCCAGCAGGAAACATACCTTGGTTTGCTGGTGCTGTTCAAGCATTTCCTCGGCTTCGGTGATGTCCTTGGCTAACTCACTGTTGTTGATGCGATTGCATAGCTCCTCGATCCAAGCCATCTACGCAGAGGCATACAGCCGGGCACGAACAGCCGCACGTACGCACGCACACATGCACGTGCACACACACGCAGGCACACACACACGCACATGCATGTACACGCACGCCCATGCAACACATGCACATGACCAAGCCATATGCAATGTAAAAAAAAGAAAAAAATCTGATCTGCTTCCCATGTTTTTTATGAGGGCAAAAAATTGGCTGTTTCCACCCGGGATCGAACCGGGGACCTTTCGCGTGTTAGGCGAACGTGATAACCGCTACACTATGGAAACTTGCTTGTCTCCTTTTCTCCTACATATTCCTATGTTCAAACAATCTAAAACCAGCATGAACAGCAACGAAAGGAAGAAAAAAAGTTGGTTGGCAGCGGTGGGATTCGAACCCACGCCTCCGGAGAGACTGGAGCCTTAATCCAGCGCCTTAGACCACTCGGCCACGCTACCTCACACAATGTCTTGCACTTAGTCAGTCTGTCTAGGAGCCATCCCTCAAAAGGTAGTAGTATACTCTAATTTCAGAAATTTTCGGTGCTCAATATTTTCGGTATGAGGGCAAAAGGCCAGGTTAGGTGAACAGAAATTTTCGATACAGAGAAGCAGTCCTCCGGATTATGTGTGTTAGTATTTGTTCGGTGTATTGAAATTTTAGGTACAGAGAAGCAGTTCCCTATTGGATTATGTGTGTTAGTGTTTGTTCGGTGCATTGAAATTTTAGGTATGAAATAGATGCACCGAAAGTGCCGAAAATAAAAGTACACCGAAAATTTATGAGATTACAGTAGTTCTTTGTAAATGGCAATGGTGGTTTGGAAATGGCAATGGTGGTTTGTGTTCTGGTAGTGCAAGCGTGTGCATGTGTTGATACTGATTGCTAGGTAGTCCCATATCGAGATGAACACGATTATTTGACATGGTACTGTGACGGTAGCACCTGTCCGCAACGCAGTTTCCTGTTTCTCCCATAGATTTCTCTCCGAGTACCATAGTACAAGGTGATGACACGGCGCATGAAATGACTTTCAGGGTCGACCTCACAAAAATGTTGCAGAGCTCGTGCGTACCCCGTTCTCTTATCTGTAGACTCTTCTCTTTATTGATCTAGACTATCCATTACGGTATCCCTCTAGGGATTCATCCCATATCTAGATGTGTCATGCACCGTAGTGTACCCTCAAGTACTCTACTAGATCCAGATATGGAGTACCAGCGACTGTCTTGCTGTATTATGTTTCTTGCACGACTATTTGTGTTCCTGCACTGATAATGAAAAGGGTTCTTTGCCTCACAACGAGACCGTGTTGAGTTGGTATTTTGGTGTGCTCTCGACACGTACTAAGGACGTCGGGAGAACATTACATGGTGGCAGCGCAGGGATTTCCTCTCTGACAGGATGGCGACAGGAGTTTCCAACACCCCTGTTTCCGCAACTCCCACAACTAGCAGCTCCATCACGGTTTCATCAGGTCTCGGTAGTAGTGCTGGCTCGTCAGGAGCTTCAGTTTCACAGTCAGCGGCCACTGTCTCGAGCGCTGGTCATGCTGCACCCTCTGCTGTTTCCTCCACGGCTGCACTGTCTCTTCAAAAGGATTGTAGAAAACTGAAAACTGAAATGTCTTGGCAACATTCTTATGGAAACTCTTATACATATGGCTCCTCTGCTCCACCTCCATGGAGGCCTCAACCTCCATTTAACATCCCGTCTCAGTGTCAGCATTTAAACAGTTCCCGGCAGCGTTAGACCCGCCCGTTGTCGTGAATAATCTTGCTCAAAAATAGTCTAGGGGTCAAACGGGTGTTCCGGGTACCCGGGTACCCGCCCGTTAATCTCAGGTACCGTTAGTAAAAGGGTACCCGTTTGTATAAAAAATAAAAAAAAAAAAAAAAAAAAAGGTTGGATTTCGATGATCCTATCGTATGCCAAGACCCAAAATAGGAGTGCGGATACTCTTTTCCTTTTCCTGTGCATCCCCGCTTTCGACTTTGTCAGGCAGGAGCAGGCTGAAAGACAGCCGTTCTCTCCACTCTAGTCCAAGTAAAAATCCTCGTACTGGAGGTTTTTGATTGTAATGTGAGAAAATGCAAGACTTGAAACCGAGTCGTTCGAGGTGGCAGCTCAGTTACTAGAAAGTTACGATGGTTCTCCGACATCGACATCGAACCTGCCACAGTACTTGAAAATGAACTAGTGTCACCAGGCTGAGTGACCAGTCGGAGTGTCACACACGGCGATGTCCGTAGGTGGTAGCTATGATACTCATGGTTGTAGTTTGTTCCTTCAATCGACGAACTCGGTTTAGTTGAAAAGTTGTTCGAAATATTGCATACAAGATTACAGATTTGTGAAGATTCGTTTCACGAGTTCAACGAGCTAGCACTAGCAGCTAGCTGGCCAGCAGCACATCAGCTGTGTCAGGCACCCCAGCTAGCAATGGGTGCAAACATCTTCTGAATGGGAAGAGTACCAGTTCTCTGCGAACATAGCAAATAGGATTGGGCGAGATCACGGGAGTTTTGCTAAACTATTCTGTCCTTGCATGGCTTGAATCACATCGATCTGCAGTTGATTTGCGTACATGTATCAAAATACATGTAGCACTACGAGGACCATGTACGATTGTAACTGCCTGTGAAGTTATGTACATGGGCAAATGTACGGATGACATTCATTTGGAACCTTCATTGCCATAATATTATCATGAGACACGAATAAATAGAATGCGAATCATAATGTGGTATCAAAATACAACCTGAGAATATACAAATTTAAATCATGATTTATGTGATAAATGCACACAAAAATAATATGGCTGCTAAAGGGTACCCGTTAACCCGCCCGTTAAGAAAATGACCCGTTCGTTAGTTAAAGGTACACCCGTTTGACCCCTAAAAAATACCAGCTCTCCCCCCCCCCCCCCGGTCCTGGTACACACTGCCATTACGGTCACGTGTCCCCTTGCGGGGCCGACAACATGGAACGACGAGCGACGGCAGAAAGTCGGCAGTCTGCCGAGAGGTCAGGGACAGTG